ACACCGATAGCAACTGACGATCGATCGTCTAATTTTACTGCTGACCCGTCGCTGTTTCTATGCACCGACACTTCGCTGACGCCGTTCTACATCCTCGTGTACGTCGACGACTTGGTTTTTTTCACTGCTGACACTGAGGCACTGACCCTTGTGAAGTCCGAGCTGCAGAAGAGACACACCTGTACTGACCTAGGTGAGTTGCGCAGCTATCTTGGCTTGCAGATCACCCAGGACAGAGCACGGCGCACCATCACCCTGACTCAGTCACACATGGTGCACCAGGTCCTTCAGCGCTTCGGCTTCCGGTACTCCTCGTCACAGTCCACTACTCTGCCTACCGGTCACTCGCTCTCAGCTCCACGTTCGGACGAGTCCGTAGAGCCAAGTGGCCCGTATCCAGAGCTTGTGGGCTGCCTCATGTACCTGATGACCTGCACTCGACCTGACCTTGCCTACCCTCTTAGCATCATGGCACGCTATGTTGCGCCCGGGAGACACCGACTAGAGCACTGGGAGACCGCTAAGAGGGTGTTGCGCTACTTGTGCAGTACATCGGGCATGGGGCTCATGCTTGGAGGATGGGGTCCAGTTTTCCTCACTAAACACGCAGACGCGTCTTGGGTTGACGACTTGGCTACGCAACGGTCGTCACAGGTTTACACTTTCAGCCTTGGCTCCGGCTCTGTTTCTTGGCGGTCTAGCCGCTTGTCTTCTGTTCTCAGTTCCAGTTGTGACGCTGAGATCTACGCAGGGGCCATGGCTGCACAGGAGTTACGCTAGCTCACCTACCTGCTGACCGACTTGGGAGAGCGGCCTCGTTCTCCTCCAGTTCTGTACGTAGACAACAAGGCCATGATTGCCTTGTGTCAGGAGCACAGAATGGAGCACAGGACGAAGCACATCGCTCTGCGTTACTTCCTTCCTTGAGAGCTGCAGCAGCGTGGTCAGCTTCGTCTTGCTTACGTGGCCACTCGGGCCAACGATGCTGATATATTCACCAAGGCACTTCAGCCTGGTGATCATGAGCGTTTCTGTACTGTTTTAAACCTTGTACCTACTTTGCCTCACTTGCTCACTGCGTGACTTTGCTTGTACTGTGATCTATATACATATACCTGCATGGTTACCCCTCCTAGGATATTATCACTGTACTGTTTGTTCTCGTTTATATAATTCTGCATGTGAACTGGCCTTGTGGTCATTTGCTTGTGTTCAGAGTGTGTGGTGACCTTGTGATCCACCCTGAGCTTGCTTTGCTTTTTCTTGACTAGTCTTGTGACCACTTGTTCTCCCCCACTTTGCCTATGGGGGTGTATGAAACTAATATATTGTTTATGTTGTGTTGGCTGTAGTGGGGTGGCCTAGAAGGGATACAACCCAATTAGGGTTAGTACTTGTACCAACATTCTTCTCAATGCAATCATTCCCTCGTCTAGTTTCTGACAACCTTGCATATGACTCGCAGAATTCGGAATTTGTGTTTGACATGTTAGTCTTTTTGGTAGGTTTCATGAGCAAGCTGTTAGGCGGAAGCAGGCGTTTCCTGTGGTCTCTGCAGGCGCGCCGCATGCTGCACAGCTGCAAGCAGAAGTGCGAGCAGAAGTGCGAGCAGAAGAGCAAGAAGTGCAACACGGACTACGCCAAGTGCAAGCGCAAGTACAAAGGATTACAAAGATGAGCACGAGGAGTGCACTGATGACTACAAGAAGTGCAAGCGCAAGGCCAAGAAGTGCAGATCTAAGTGCGACTAGGCCGGGCAAAGAGAGTATTTGTAATGAGGGATGGGAAATAATGTGAGATCATAAAATTCTGGGTGGGCTGAGATGGATGGGAGCATTTCGTGAGTATTTTATGAAGATGGCAGATCAATGTTAGACATTTTCGAATAAATTTGATTTTCTTGGCAAAAATTGGTTGAAATATTATGAGATCAAGAGGCTTTTTATCATTTGTATAATCCATTGGTTGATGGTGGGAGCAGAAAACTGTAGTGGGCACCAGCAGGGGGTAAAGAGTCATGAGCTTTACGCGACATCATGTTCACTGTTTTTATTTCAGAACTTACCCCGAATCAATTCTAAAGCAAATGAGGCACTACAATAGCTTGCCAATTACTCCTTTGGCATGGGGAGCCCTAGGATCATATTGATCCCTTTCTTGGCGGCTACAGTGTAGTTGTTGTACAGCATATGAAGTTTGTAACCTTGTAACGCAACTGGAACGCGGGAGGAAGGGAGGAGCAGAAAACGGTTGAGAAGACAATGAAACAAGCAGCAGCTAAAAGAAGATGTTTTCTCTCAACTGAACGATTTTCGTCAACCTCCACCCTAGGCCCCCTTGTTCACTCGTCCTTCACCACCCCTCTTACCAGCTGCACCAACCAACCATCACAAAGATTTTCACGGCCTCACAACATTACACCGCTCTCCGCATCCATACCATAGCCCCTACATTCCCAAATCCTCATCCGCTCTCCATTCCTCTCTCCTTCTCCCTCTTTAGCCTCGAGCGCACCACTTGTGTTTGCTTCCTCCTCCCTTCTACCTTTCTGTGTCCCTTCCTTCCTAACAACAAAAACTCCTCCCTGCCTCCTCCTCCCTTCCATTCACAGTCACAAGATTACATCACAAAAGTCCATCATAATATTGCACATGAAAGTTCACCACGATATTCAATCGCAATCACAAAATCCCATCACCGTGTTCAATCACAGAATTCCATAACAATATTCTCCTTCCCCCACCACACATCTGCCCTTACCATGACTCCCAGGGCATTGGAGTAAAGGGAGGATACGAGAATCAGTAACAACATTCACCACGCATTGCAGCCACATCAAGGTCACCAGAAAGGAGAAGGAGGCCACGGCTTCAGGCTCGTCAGGCATGAGAGCGAAGCAAGGCTCATCAGAATCGACCATAGAGTTACACAGGATTGACCATGCGAGAGCATGGCGACTCACCAGCGTTCACCATGCAATCCTGCGTGTAATACCCACTGTGCACAGCGATTTCGAGACGTCCCAAAAATCAAGACGCACCACCGCGCACAACGCTGCAATGAGGGCCGTGAGGAGGAAAGTCACCACGATTTTCCCCACGAGAGGGGTCTCCGCCTCATACTGCCGCCCGGCGTCCGCTCTTTGCCGCCAGTGAATCACCAGTGACCATGCGAGAGCACAGCGACTCACCAGCGTTGACCATGCGAGAGCAATGGCGACTCACCAGCGTTTGACCATGCGAGAGCACGGCGACTCACCAGCATTGACCATGCGATTGCGTGTAATACACCACCACTGTGCACAGCGCTGCGACGAGGAGGAAAGGCACCACGATCTGGCATTGAGTCGACTCAAAATTCACCTTGTTAGAGAGAAGGGCGGCTCACCAGCATTGACCATGCGATCCTGTGTGTAATACCCACCGCGCACAGCGCTTCCGAGACGCCAGACTCACCAGCGTTGCCCATGCGGTCCTGCGTGTGATTCGGACCACCGCGCACAGCGCTGCGACCCGAGCCGCGACGAGAAAAGCCACCGCGATCTGGCTTTTCTGTCGACTCAAAGTCGACCTCGTTAGGGAGAACGGCAACTCACCAGCATTCACCATGCGGTCCTGCGTGTAATACACCACCGCCGCGCACAGCGCTTTCGAGACGTCCCAGAAATCAAAACTCACCAGCGTTGACCATGCGGTCCTGCGTGTAATAAACGACGACCGCGCACAGCGCTGCGACGAGGGCCGTGAGGAGGAAAGTCACCACGATCTTCCCCACGGGAGGGGTCTCCGCCTCGTACCGCCGCCCGGCGTCCGCTCTTTGCCGCCGCTTCGAATCGGAACCTGAAGCCGTGCCTTCCTTCTCGTTCTTGTCTGATGCTCGCCGATCGCGAGACACCTGCCGCGCCATCGTTTACCACTACGGCAGAGCTCGCCCTTTTCTTCGCACGCAAAGGATTACAACTAAGCTGGGTACCGTCTGGTGCGGTATGGCGTCCGTTGCCGGCTATCGGCCCGAGATTCCGGTGAAGGGATAACGCGGTCTACGTTGTGATCGCAGCAGTCGCGCTAATGAAATGAAGCTGCTCGTTGCGGAAAAAGCATGAGGTAACCTATTTTCGCATTAAGAATCGGTAACGTGCTGCTAAAGTACATATATCTGCCTAACTTTAGGTCGTGACAGCCTCAACTAAGGAGCTTAGAAGCTGATCTAATCGCGATCACCTAACTAGGAATGCGAACCTCGATGTTTGTTCAAACTAACCCTAAAAGCACATTTGTCGTGAAGACTCTGAACTCCTGAACTTTTGTGAGATTGTGCGCGCTTTGGCGATCAAGATTGATTTCGCTTTTCCATATTGTGTCGTATATGTTCGCGGAGATTCATCTTCTGTGGAAAGTTTGGCTACCACATTACAGCTGGTTACATTCCAGGTGTGCTATGACGGAGAAAGTTGGTGGGAGGTCGGATGTGGAGGCTCTCATCGCGTGCAACTTCTCGCTAACTCGCCTTCCTTCGTTAGCCAATCAATCGATGGTGATCTGTTCCAAACCAAGCACACCGCCTAGCAAACCAGCCAAGTCGAGGGAAAAGACTTCATTCAGGTTTTTCATCCAACGGTAACTTGAGACGAGCCGCGCTATTACAATATCAGAGATCTACTGGACATCTGCAAACCGTAGTATTGTCTTGTTTTCGCCTTCTGACATCCCCCGCGTACCCGTGCCTGAAGCCATCAGTTTCATTGGCGATTTTCGAGAAACTATTTTACTCGAGCTTGTCGTACGCGCGGGTTTTGCACTGCTCAAGTTTCCGAGCGTTCTTCGCCTGCAAGCGATTTAAATGCAGGTAACGGAATACGTTCTAACTGGACATTTGGAGAGGGAATCAGACGAATTTTGAACTGTTGTGTCAACCATTTTGGTTCGTACGAGTAACATTAAAGAGCAGTCAACGGGATTACCTGTTGCATAATCAAGTTTAAGAACATCGGCTAGTCGCAGATGCTCGTCGTCCCTTCTTCCCACCTCTCTCCCTCAACCTTCCTTTTCACCACTCTCCTTCATCCCTCTTTTTCACAACTCTCCTTCTCATCATCCCTCCCCTTCTCCGTGTGTCCCTGCTCTTCTTCCTCCTCCACTTCACTTCTTCTTCCCTTCATCCTCCCCACTTCCCCTCGTCTCACTCCCTCTCTCCCTTTTCGTCACCAGCCCTCTCCTTCCCCCGTCTTTCCCCCCACTTCCCGTTCGCCACGTGGCAGTCTTTGGACGATGGAGATGAGTTCCGGCTGCCCATCGACCATCGGATCACGGAGAATCTGGACCGCGAAGGGCTGGAGCGTCGTTGGACAAGCCGATCCCTAGCAGCATTTTGGATCAGTTCACCCCTCCCCCCTTGGCCCCACCCCCCCGCCCCCCCGCCCCCCCCCCCTCCCCCCTCGCCCCCCCTCCCTCTCCCACCCCCGTCTTTTCCCCTGCTCTCAGTCTTTGGACGATGGAGATGAGTTCCGTCTGCCGATCGACCATCGGATCACGGAGAATCTCGACCGCGAGGGACTCGAGATGGCGTCGTTAGACAAGCCAATCGCGTGCAGCAACGTGGGGTTCCAGCTGCTGCTGAAGATGGGGTGGCGGGGGAAGGGACTGGGAAGGAACGAGCAAGGTGAGAGGGACAGAAGTGAGAGGGGGAATGTGGGGGGAAGAATGAAAATGGGAAGCAAGGGAAGAGGGGAAGCTCATTGCGTGCAGCAACGTGGGCTTCCAGCTGCTGCTGAAGATGGGATGGCGGGGAAAGGACTGGGAAGGAACGAGCAAGGTGAGAGGGACAGCAATGAGAGGAGGAATGTGGGGGAAAGAATAAAATGGGAAGCAAGGGAAGAGGGGAAGCTCATTGCATGCAGCGGGTTCCAGCTGCTGCTGAAGATGGGGTGGCGGGGGAAGGGACTCGGACGGAATGAACAACGTGCGTGAGACGCGAGTGATAAGAGTTGAGACGTTGGGAGGGAGCGTTGAAAAAGAGCTGATGTTACCTGGAAGAATCGTGTTGAATGGAACGAGGCGAGAGACAGCAGAGAATTAATTTTCTGGGAGAATCCGGACCGCGAAGGGCTGGAGCCTGGAGATGACGTCGTGACACAAGCCCATCCGCGTGCAGCAGCGTGGGGCTCCAACTGCTGCTGAAGGTGGTATGGCGGGGGAAGGGGCTGGGGTGGAACGAGCAAGGTGAGAGACAAGTGAGAGGGACAGTAGTGAGAGGAGGAATGAGGGGAAGCAAGGGGAGAGGTAAAAGAGAAAGTAAGGGGAGAGGGACGAGGGGAAGTAAGGGGAGAGGGACGAGGGGAAGCAAGGGGAGGAGAGTGAGAGATGAAAGACACGTGATTAGGGCTGGGGAAGCAGGAAGATTAAGGAATAGTACACCACACAAGAGGCCAGAACGTGCAGAGGAGAATTTTCCGTTTTCCCTTCTTCCTTCCTCCCCCAACCTCTTCCCCCCCACCCCACTTCGTCCTCCTTCCTTCCCCCCTTTCCCCCTTCCCCAACCAGGTTCGCGCAGAGAGGCGAGACGATCCTTGAGTCAACTCAAAACTCACCACCACAACCCTAACCCCCCCTTTCCCCCTCGACCCTACTATTCCCCTCCCCTGTCCCTCCCAACCAACCCCACTAAACGCCAACGCCCTCTCGGCATATTGGATTTCGTGAGAACGGACATGCAAGACGATTCGTGGCTCGACTCAAAACTCACCCATAGCCACCCTACTACTCTCCCCCCTCCGCCTCATCTCCCCAGGCATTGTGGACCCGGTGCGAACGGAGATGAGGGGTGCTTTTAGAGTCGTCTCAGAGCTCACTTCCAACCCTACCCCACCCCTCTCTGCCCCCGGCACTAATGCACACACCCTCCAGGCATAGTGGGCCTGGTGCGCACGGAAATGAGGAATGCGCGGTTAGAATTGGGCAAGCAGGAAGAGAGGAGGGTTAGTCCCCCTCTCCTCTACTTCTCCTCCCCTCTCACCCTTTACGCACTCCCCAAACCCGAACCTCCTACTCATCCCCCCAGGGGCCAGGAGGAGTGGTACACGGCAGAAGACTTTTGAGGCGCCTCAAAAGTAGTCTACTCATCCCCCCAGGAGGAGTGGCACACGGCAGAAGAGAGCCTGCAGCACAGAGAAGGGGGGTCATTCCTGCTCCCCTCTTCCCACCCCACCCACTCATTCCCCCCAAACCGCAGGCATCGTGGACCCGGTGCGAACAGAAATGAGGGATGCGCGGCTGGGATTGGGCAAGCAGGAGGAGGAGGAGTGGTATACGGCAGAGGAGAACGTGCAGAGAAAGAAGCTTGAGATAGAGGTGGAGGAGACAGAAGAGATAGCAAAGAAGAGAGAGGTGAGGGGGTTGACGGGCTGGGTCTAGAGCGGTTGGGTTGGTTGGTTTCAGAGCAATTGATTTCAGAGCGGTTGGGAGAGGTGAGTGTGGTAGTTTTTGAAGCAAGAGCAGGAGCAGGAGGAGGGGTGGTATACGGCAGAGGAGAACGTGCAGAGGAAGAAGCTGGAGATAGAGGTGGAGGATACAGAGGAGATAGCAAAGAAGAGAGAGGTGAGGGGAAAGAAGGTTGGGTTTAGAGCGGCTGGAAGAGGTGAGTATTCTTTCTTTAAATGCTGGAGATGGAGTGTAGGTGGAGTGGAGTGGGGAAGAGTGGAGGGGGTATAGAAGGAGTGTGGTGAGGGGAGGTGGGTGTGATTTACACCATGTCTTGTCAAAGGAACAAATATCTTCCTCCTGTTTGTGTATGCTCACTCCTCATCAACAGGCTCTCCAATTGTCAACCTTCCTCACACTTCCTTCCAGCCTGCACTGCACACGCATCCTCTGCTGCACTGCTGCTGCTGCGCCTTGAAGCATGGTTCTATTCCATCACCAAGGACAGCAGGAGGGAGGCTCTGTGTATCGCTCGCCCCTTCGGCTGTTATTACCCTGTTCTCCCCTTCCCTCCCCTCTCCCTTCCGTCTCCTCTCCCGTTTCCTCTCCATGTCCGCACGTTTTCCAATCCGTTCCTCCTCCTCCTCGGTCCCTCAATGGGCGCCTGCTTATCCATCTTAACCCGACAATCAACTGCTGCTGATGATGCTGCGACTGGTCGTCTGAATCCCTTCTGTGGGCGGCCCCATCTCTCTGATGGCAACGCCTGGGATCCATGCAACTGTGTCGTGACATGTTGCGCTTGACACACCGCGACCCATGTGTTTTGGCACTTGCTGCGGTGCATGTTGCGGTGGCAAATGTGCAACACACGCGCTGTGCATCGATGGGCATAATCAGGAGGAGGCAGATCGGGTGGAAAAAATCCGGGCAGATGTGAAGGAGATTCAGAAGGTGTTTCTGTGTGAGCTGTGCAACAAGCAGTACAAGCTGGCGAGCGAGATGGAGATGCACCTCAGCAGCTACGACCACAACCACAAGAAGGTGAGCGGTGCTGAGGGGTGCAGGGGTGTACTGAGCGGTGTTGAGGGGTTTGATGACTTTTTTTACTCCACTCAATAGCCGCTAGCCACCGGGGAGTGGGTGTGAAGGGGACTCAGAGGGTGTTTCTGTGCGAGCTGTGCAACAAGCAGTACAAGCTGGCGAGCGAGATGGAGATGCACCTCAGCAGCTACGACCACAACCACAAAAAGGTGAGCGGTGCTGAGAGGTGCTGAGAGGTTTGAAGGGTTCGAGGGGATTTTTATGTCGCTGGTGTGTGTTCAGAGCTATTGTTTTGGCTCCCTATCATTACAAAGATGAACCAGAATCCTGCTGTACTACGCATTGTCCATAACCTTGTGCTTCCAGAAAGCTAACCCGCAATCGTAGCTATCAGTTTTCTTCTCATTGCAGCTTTTTTTTTGTTTTTTGTTTTTTTTTTCTCCATTAGCCTCCTTCCCTTTTGTAGTTTACCATTCTCTATTGTAACCACCCCTGCTCTCCATTCCCCATTTTCCATTCTCTATTCCCCGTTCTCCATTGCACCACCATGTCTCCGCACAGCGCTTGCAAGAGACCAAGAAGTTGCAGCAGCAAGGGGTTTTCCAATGTAACTAACCAACCTTATTCTCCATGCCCCATTCTCTATTCTCCATGGCACCACATTCCTCCTCACAGCGCTTCCAAGAGACCAAGAAGATGCAGCAGCAGGGGGTGCGGGATGAGAGGCAGCGCAGGGAGCAGCTGAGGGAGGAGAAGGAGCTTGCGAGATACGCCAAGCTGTGAGTTCCTTCCTGTATTTTTCTCTCTCTTTCTCGTTGTGTCTGGTACTTGAGTCGACTCCAACGCCACAGGGAGAAGGAGCTGACAGTGCAAAGCCCTGAGCCCACTCTTCCTTTCTTGCTCGGGGCCTTAGGGCGCGGTAAAAGTGAGAATATCGCAGGATCGTGCGTGTATATCGATCCACAGAATCGATTGGGCGGATCGTTTGGTGAAACGATGCGCCGACATGGTTGTAACGATCGTTCCAGCGTGAACGGTTGGATATTCCAGAATCAAGATTTCGGTTTTGCCTGCGACACCGTCTAAGAAAAACCCCCTTCTTGCAATGCAACAACGCCTGCGACATTCGCAGCCCACAGGGCAACCAGCCTGAAATTCCGCGAAATGTCAGAATCATGCGCGTCTCCGTTTACTCGCTCCGAAATCTCAGCACTTCGCAGGCATCAGGATCAATCGTGCCTGTTGTGCTCGGTTCATGCACATCATCTGCGCATTGATGCCTCGGAAAGGTCTACACCAATCAGTGATCAGTCACATTCACTTACTGTGCACAAAATATTCACAAAAACCTTACTGTAGCATGGTTACACGTTAGTAAACAGGGTAACCAATCTGCACACCGATAGCAACTGACGATCGATCGTCTAATTTTACCGCGTCCTTACATGTCGTGCCTCGACTAAAGAGTTGATGAGGGGGGAGACGGCGCTGGCACGATATGCCAAGCCAAGCTGTGAGTCCCGTTTCTCTTTTCTTGTGCGGGGCCTTTGGTGCCGCACCTGATTTTGATTCATTTCAAGAGTGGCTGAGGGAGGAGAGGGAGCTGGCGTGCTACGCCAAGCTGTGAGCCCGTTGTTGTTGTTGTTGTTGCTGGTTTTTGTCTCTTGCTCAGGTACTTAGATGTCTTGCCTGGTTGTAATTAAAACGCTGCTGAGGGAGGAGGATTAAGGAGGAGAAGGAGCTGGCGCGATATGCCAAGCTAGCTGTGACTCCCGTCTTTTCTGGAGGACTTTGATGCAGCACCGGATATGTTTTCAGAGTGCATGTTGGGACCATGGCGATTGGAATGTCTTTGAAGTAGCTTCTGCTACACTGTCTGCTTTCTTAAGTAATTCATTTTTTCTTTATCGGTCCTTGCAGTGTGGAGGCCCAGAAGCAACAGCAGCAGCAGCAGCAGCAGCAGCCGACAGGAGTGGTGCGAGCAGCAGCATCTGTAGAAGCAGGCGGGGCATCAGCTGTGTCAGCAGCACCCCGTCCAACCGCAACGACTTCAGCTATTCCCGCTGATCGCTCTGCCCTCAAATTCGGCATCTCAATGAAGGCCAAACCAGGGGCCGCAAAGAAGGTACTAACGCTGTCATTTGGAAAAACATTGCATTGCTTCTTGCCCCTGTGGTTTGCATTTTAAATATCGTTCGATGTTCAACGGTTGTGACTTTCAGGGTTTTTTTGGGAAGTCGAAAGCTGCAGCTCCACCAAAGAAACTTGCATCGGTGTTTGGTGTGGAGGATGACGAAGAAGAAGCAACTTAGCTGGGTTTCATATCATGTAGAAAGGCAGAGAATGATATCTTATTTTATTTTTTCATTGAGGCTACCCTTTCCTAACTCTATAGCGCGACGCTTCGAAGCGAAGCACTTCAAGCATCCACCTCGCAGATGCCAGGCAAGGGATGAAACACAACACAGTGGATGTATTCGATTGTTCTGCTCGTTTCGGATCGGTTCTGTCAGCAGCCGGAACTGTATAGTGGGGCATAAATGCGATACGCCAAGATTCTGATATCAGGAGCGAAATTTCTTACTAGCCGAATCCAGAATTCTGCTTATCATGCAATGTTTTTCAGAGTTCAGATTGAGAGAGAGACCCGGGCCATGGCCATTTGTTCTCATTGTTGTAAACGCGTCGCTTTTTAGTAAAATTACAGCTCACTCGCTTGCCAGCCTTGCGCCGGTCGCTACTCTCGCTGCATGATGATCTGACCAAGCAACGAATGCTACGTGTCATCGTCACGCCACGCTTTACTAGTATGCGACGCCAGCAGCCACGTCAAAGCTGTCGCTCATGCAGCTTTTAGGCTTGATCTCACGTTACACCTGCGTCACTCTTGCGTCACACCAGCACAACCAGCTGGCAGCTGCTGAGCAGATTCGAAGCTTTCGACAAAGCTGCTAATATAATCAGATTTCGTTAGAGTCACAATATTGGAGCTTCCCGGTATACATTCGCTAGGTGGCATGTTGCTGCCTCGAGATATCCCAATCACAAGTGCGGTTGTTGCGATGGAAGAACAATCTGGACCGTCCGATGCGCGTGCAGTATGTTTGGCGGGTTCGGCTAAACCGCTGCAAATTTACCGTAGTGATCCTTGTACATCAACGAGATTGACAATATCGAGGTTACATCCAGCGTACACCTTTCCCAGCGGTTGTGGGGCGGTGGGAGAAAGATCCGAGCAGGAATTGCGCGTTCTTCTTAACTCAGATTCCCATCAAGGAAGAGAAGCGCTGCGCTGATTAACAGGGAGGCGGTATGGCAACAGGATTGGACGGTGGGGATTCGCCAGAAAGAGCGTTCAAGATGGAGGGCTATGAGAATTTCGAGGAAGTTTCGTTTCGTTCCCCCCCGGGTGGTCTTGTGTTCGAACCTCTTAGTGAGGATGAGGAAGAGGACGAAGAAGAGGACGAAGAAGAGGGGGGGAGTCGGGGTGGGAGCGAGAGAGTGTCTATGGGTGAAGAGGAGGGGGAGGGGATGCAGGAGAGGGGGAAGGGAAGAGTGAGGGAGATAGAGAGAGAGGAGGAGGTGGTTTGTGAAGACGAGGATTGGGAAAACTCGGAGGGGAGTGTCAGTGGAGGAGATAGTGAGGGAGTGAGTGAGGTAGTGCGTGAGGGGGTGAGAGAGATAGTGCGTGGGGGAGTGAGGGAGGAAGGGGTGGTGATGTGTGAGGAGGAGTGTGTGGCATGTGAACTGGCAGTGAAGCAAATGAGAGGAGGGAAATCGTCCACGTGGCACAGATTCACTGGCTTCTGGGCCTCGAAAAAGAAAGCTCCAGATTCCTCTACCAGCCAGATCAGCATGGAAAACGAGCGGGTGATGAAAAATGAGAAGAGCAATGTAGAAAGGGGAGTAAGGAGGGGTGGGAAGGGGTGCTTATGGCGGTTAAGGGGGGGTAGGGGAAAGCAGAGAGGAAGGGAGAATGGTTCACCTGAAATACCCGAATCATCTGAAATACCTGAGGCACCTGAATCACCTGAGGCACCTGAATCACCTGAGGCACCTGAATCACCTGAGGCACCTGAATCACCCGAGGCACCTGAATCACCCGAGGCACCTGAATCGCCCGAGGCACCTGAATCGCCCGAATCACCTGAGGCAGGAGACTTACGGCACGGAGTGGGGGGCTTGCAGCGGGTGGGTGTGTGGGAGAGCTCTGAGACGCCTGAGGGGGGAGGGTCTGGGGGCGAGAGGGCGTCGGATGGAGTGATAGAGGGATTGGGAGAGGGAGTGGGAGAGGGTCTGGGGGGATTGGGAGAGGGGGTGGGAGAGAGGCTGGAAGAGGGTTTACAGGGGAATCTGATTTCAAACAGTGGGGTGCTCATGCAGATGTACCCGGAGCTTCCTGGAAGGTGCGAAGCCGTGGCAAGCCCTAGTGGTCCCGTAGGGGGAGGGGCCTGGGGCGGAGGAGGAACTGGCGTTGGTGCTGATGCTGACGTGGCAGCAGGCAGTGGTGCTGCTGCTCACATAGCAGCACGAGGTGGTCTTGCTGCGGCTGATGCGACTGGTGCCAGTGGTGCTGATGCTGGTGCTTCTACAGCACCAAGAGGTGGTGGTTCTATCGCTCCCCTCCCCTCCCGGCCTCCTAGGTTGCTGGCGGTGCTGAGTGTGGACGGCGGGGGAGTGAGGGACGCCATTCCCACGCAGATCTGTGTTCGTCTTGAAGAGATGCTGCAGGAGCGGTGCGGCGATCCGAATGTGCGACTGGCGGATTTCTTCGACCTCTTTGCTGGTGAGCTGCCTTGTTTCCTCTCCCATCCCGAATCCCACTGCTCTTGGCGGTGCAGAGTGTGGATGGAGGGGGAGTGAGGGACGCCATTCCCACGCAGATCTGTGTTCGCCTGGAGGCCATGCTGCAGGAGGGGTGCGGGGATCCCAACGTGCGCCTGGCGGATTTCTTCGACCTCTTTGCTGGTGAGCCGCCCTGCTGTCTCTTCCCGGCTGCCCGTGTACACACATCCCGTGATCACAGCGCTTCACAGGGCAACGGGGCGGCCTGCCATCAGGGCAGCCATCAGGGCTCAGAGTATAGAGAACTGGGTGTGCAATTTCCGTCTCTCCCTCCTCCCTTTGTCACCCCAGGCACCAGCGGCGGGGGTCTGCTAGCTCTCATGCTCACAGCGCCCCACAGGGAGACAGGGCGACCGGCCATCAGGGCTCAGGACGTGGCAGGCTTCTGGACGCTGCACTCCAAGCACATCTTCAGGAGGAGGTTCTGGCCCCGATGGGCTGCCACCCTAAGAAACATATGGCGCCCCAAGTACAAGGTAGGTGAATCAGCTTATAGTGGGTATGACTTCTGGACGCTCCACTTAAAGCACATCTTCAGGTGGCGATTCTGGCCCCGATGGGCTGCTACACTGAGGAACATATGGCGGCCCAAATACAAGGTGAGCATGCTCTCCCTCACCCCACAGGGCGGGTTGTTATTAGGGTACAAGCAGGATGTGGCTTCTTTTGGGCGCTGCGCCCCAAGCACATCTTTAGGAGGAGGTTCTGGCCCAGATGGGCTACGCTGCGACACTGCGCAGTATATGGCGGCCCAAATACAAGGTGAGTGGTCTCTCGCCCCACACCCAGAGGGGCAATGGGGATCCAGCCATCAGGGCTCAGGTAGGACGTGGCAGACTTCTGGACTCCCCACTCCAAGCACGTGTTTTGAAGGAGGTTCTGGCTGCGATGGGCTGATGATACCCTGAGGAACATATGGCTGCCTAGATACAAGGTAGGTGAGTCAGCTTATAACGAGTATAAACTTGATGCTGCAATTCACTTCCATGGTCCCTGCACCTATCTGCACCGCTCTGCACCCCTCCCTCCCTTGTTCATCTTTCCCATTCCTTCCTCTTTCCCCCATCACTCAAGTGGAGGTCCTAGAGCAGCTTCTGCGTCATTTCCTCAGGCACCACCTTATCACCACCACTCGTGCCCTCCCTGCCGCCTCCTCCTTCCACTCCTTCCTCTTCACTACTCTCCCTCTTTTCCCCACCTCTCCCTCACCCCGCCCTTGTCTATTTATCACCCTTTCCTCCACTGTCAGGTGGAGGTTTTGGAGGAGGGAGCAGCTTCTGCTTCATTCTCTCAGGCAGCATTGCAGCCTGTCACAGCTACTTCTATGCACCCATCTATACCGCTCTGCACCCCATCCTTCTCTCTTCAGGTGGAGGTTTTAGAGCAGCTTCTGCGTCATTTCCTCAGGCAGCACTGTGGCGCGGCGGACCTCTGCCTATCAGAGGCCGTCAAGCCCCTCCTGCTGACGTCATATGACATCAGCGCCGCCCGGCCGTACTTCTTCCTCAGCCTAAGGGCTTTGTCCGACTCGAGCCACGACTTCCCGCTCATCCAGGTGGGTTGTGAGGATGAGTTGTGAATGGGGGGAACGACTCGGGCCTTTGAGTTCTTGTTGAATCTGGTCAGGGCCTGTGGCCGTGTGGTGATTCCAGTCATGATGGGTAGTGTGGGTTGAACTCTATCTGTGATTCCAGTCTCTCCTCCGCACAGACTGAGGGCTTCGTCCGACTCGAGCCACGACTTCCCCCTCATCCAGGCGAGTTCTCTACGCACGCTCGCGTGGTGTGAAAGGTGAAATTCTTCACCCTCAACGTGGGCACCCAGCCTGCGCCTCTTTTTTTGTTGTGACGAAAGTGGTGCGCAGCGTGGCTGTCCACGTTGAGGGTGAAATACTTCCCCGTTGCCACCACGCGAGTGCGCGGAGAGAACTTGGGCCTATAGGAACCAACCATCCATAACCAAATTAGAGACAGAACAGAGAAGCAGCCAGAAAGACAGCTTGTCAGCATAAAGTTCCACTCTCTTCTCCTTTACTCCTCCCCATCTTATCTGTGGCCGGTGTTGTTCTTAGTCCGGGCAGGCGTGCAGAGCAGCAGAGCCACGTCAGCGGCTCAAGCACATGAATGTGGAGGCATGGATATCAACTGTTCTTTCATTTCTTGCCCTTTCCACCCCGAGCAGGCATGCAGAGCCACGTCAGCAGCTCCCAGCATCTTCATGCCGGCACTCGTTCAATCAGTGGATGGGCGGAGGGAGATGGTGTGTGTGGATGGGGGCATGGTGGCTAATAACCCTGTGAGTGTGGGGGCATGGAGGCTAGTAACCCTATGAGTGGGTGGGCGTGGGTTTTCAATGGCATTGTAGCATGGCGGTCTGGTACGATTGGAGGAAACGTTTGGTATACTTGAACGGGGGAATGGTGTGGCAGCTCTGTCAGCACTACTTACCACATCTCGGCTGCTCCCCTGTTCGTTCCCCCGCCTGTCATTCCTACTCTTTATCTTCATACCTTATGGTTTCTCTGCGCAATTCTTTTTGTTTTACAGTATTTTCTTGATATGCTCTCATAGTGTCCTGTTGCAGAGTGTATCCGTTGTTTTTCCTTTGCAAAAAAGGAAATGCTCTTTTTTTTGTTTTACATTCCATGAAATGTATGGTTCTGATGTCTTGTCTTGTCCGCATGGATGGCATGGCTTGTCCTTATGGATGGCATGACGTGTCCTGTTCAGACTGTAGCAGCATTCCTTCACATAGTCGCCAACCCGTCCACCTTCAAACCTCCCGGAGAAAACAACGAAATTGGTGCAACCACTGGCGCAAACATCGGTGCGAGCAATGGTGCTAGCAACAAACCAAGCAGCGCTGCAAGCAACGGAGCAGGTTCTGCCGATGTTGGGGAGATGAGAGGTGGGGGGATCAAGGCATCATCTGCAGCACCTGTTGCCGCAGTTCATGCGTTGTCTTCGGCACCTGCTGCTGCTGCAAATAGCTTTTCGCAGGCAGCGGCAGGGCGTGGAGAAATCTCACCTGCGGCAGCAATGGTTGGTGCAGCATCTGCTGATGCGGCCTGCCTGCTGGCTGGAGATATGGAGGAGGCAGCAGAGGTGGGTGCGAACCCACTGCTGCATGATGCGATGCAGAAGAAAAGAGGAGGGAAGGGGGCGATGGCTCGTGCAGCATCTGCTGATGCGAGCTGCCTGCTGGCTGGAGATCTGGAGAAGGCAGCAGAGGTGGGGGCAAGCCCGCTGCTTTGTGGTGCTGTGGGGAAGAGGAAAGAGGGGGAGGAAGCAGGAGTGGAGAGAGGGGGAGGAAAAGCAGGAGCAGAGAGAGTGGGAGGGGAAAGAGGGGCAGGGAGCAGGGGAGGGGCGGAGGGAAGGCGAGGAGGAGGGAAAGAAGGAGGGGGAGGAGGGAAAGGAGGAGAGGAAGAGTTTGAAGGATTCGCAGAGAGTAGAGGAGGGGAAGAGAAAGGAGGGCAAAGAGGAGCAGTTACCGCGGGAGAGGAAGCAGCAGGCAGCAGCGAGTTGTGTGGGGAGACTCTGTCTGGAGCTCGGTTGACATTCCGAGATTTGGTGGTGCTGTCACTGGGAGCAGGGGAGCACAAGCGGCGATACTCTATTGATGACGTCAAAAAGTGAGCGATGGTGGATGTGATGGTGTGAGGCAGTTACCAAGTCAGTTACACTCAGTACTTTCAGTGATGCACACATGCCACTCATGCCCTCCTGTGTCCACCCACCCATGGCTTGTATTGGCATTGCCATTGCTTCTCTTCTTTGCAGGTGGGGTCTGATCGGGTGGGCAGAGCCGATGGTGGATGTGATGGTGTGGGGTGGCTACCAAGTCAGTTACACTCACTACCCTCACTGCCACACACACCACTCATGCTCTCCTATGCGCGCCCATGCAAAGTGTTTTGCATCCGCCATTTTTTCTCTTCTCCACAGGTGGGGGCTCATTTGATGGGCAGAGCCGATGGTGGATGTGATGGTGTGGGGCCATTACCAAGTCTCCTAGTACCCTCACTGCTGCTTATACCACTCATGCCCTCCTGTGTGCATTTATACCTTGTGTTTTGGCTTGCTTCTCCCCAGGTGGGGGCTCATCGGATGGGCAGAGCCGATGGTGGATGTGATGGTGTGGGGCGGAGGCAACATGGTGCATGCTCAGATGTGCCTGCTGGCCTTGGCGGATGGGGCTATTGACAACTACACACGCATTGAGGTGAGTGGGGTAGGGCAAGTGGGGTTAGTTAGTGGAGTGAGGTGTGCCTGTGGGGTTTGTGTGGTTGATGGTGCCTTTGATGCACCTCACAGGGCAACATGGTGGATGCTCAGATGTGCCTTCTTGCACTAGCAGATGGGGCGATAGACAACTACACACGCATTGAGGTGAGTGACAGTGCATGCTGCTGGATGAATGCATTGACTTACATGCATTGACTTACATGCATTGACTTACATGCATTGACTTACATGCATTGACTTACATGCATTGACTTACATGCATTGACTTACATGCATTGACTTACATGCATTGACTTACATGCATTGACCTACATGCATTGACCTACATGCATTGACTTACATGCATTGGCTTACATGCATTGACCTACATGCATAAAGTTCAGGTTATGTTTGTAGTACCTGCTGCACCCACCAGTGCTGCTGCACCCACCATTGCTTCTGTTCGTCCAGGATGGACAACGCATAATGGAGGAACATCCAGCTGCTGCAGCGGGTGGCAGAGGACGCTCTTAGGCTGCTTAGAAAGAAATGTGGCCCCAGCTCTGGTGGGCAAGGTGTATCAAGTGCCTAGCCTCTCCCACTCCTTGTAACACCCTGATTTACAATGTCTCTGTTTCTCTCTCGGTCCCGTTCTCCCCCACCCACCCGTCTTCAGGTGCAATCCCTGCCGTCCATCTCGACCAGGATGGACAATGCATCTCGGAGGAACATCCAGCTGCTGCAGCGAGTGGCAGAGGACGCTCTTAAAGCCCACGGCAACGTCGTCCCCTCGCTAGCGGGGGAGGTCTGCCAGCTGGCGCCCACCAATGAGGAGCGGCTCGCTGTGCTGGCGGATAGGCTGGTGGCGGAGTACAGGTGGCGGCGTGGGATTGGAGGCTGAGCCATGCTTGTCTTGCTCCTGTGGGGAAAGGCTAGAGAAAGTGGTTGGATGCAGAACATACCATGTGGATGTACATAAGATGAGTGGAATCAAGGGTACTTACCACAACTCTTTGTAAAGGGCGATTGGAACAAACATGCTGGAAAACAATGTTCACGTCAGAAGTGTTGGCAGGGATGTTTGTGTGATAAACTCATAAGTGTACAGGTGTATTCATTCTGGTATATGCCTGTGCCAGTAAAACATACAGGAAAAACAGCAATGTTGGTAGTACTGCTACTGTACAAGGAGGAAAAGGCAGAAACATTGGAATGGAGCTCATGACAACTAGCAAAACCAGCCTAGAGGAAATGAATTCAGTGATCCAGCTGGCAGCTCCTTAAGAGGACCTGGTAACACATGGTTCAGACAGGTACCGTAATACCCCGGATATAAGCGCACCTGCGCTTATAATAAAACAGTGTTTTTTGGGGGGGTGCGCTTATAATTGAGTCAGATTTATAAGCGCATGCGCTTATATAATAACAAATGCAAATTTATAATTCATTGGCACCAAACTGTACATCTCCTTCTTGTGATTTCAATCGAATCGAAGTGGTAGCGAGTCGCAATTCAGATTCGCGCGTGAGCGATTTTCTGCCGGCGCACAGGGGAAAATTTACACGTCACTATCAGAAATGCCAGCTCATACTGACTGGACGTGCAGTATGTGAGGTCCGCGAAAGTCAATCGAAGCGAAAATAGTTGTATCCTCACTGCAAAATTTGAAATCGCTACCGTTTTAATCTGGTTTAAATTTTAGAATTATACGTGCGCTTATAATAAATCAAGGTTTTACAGGGGGTGCGCTTATAAATAAGGATCGGCCATAAGCGCATTGCTCCAGATACAAGCGCATGCGCTTATAATAGGCCTGCGCTTATATCCGGGGCCATACGGTACACCTCTGTCAAATGTTGATATTTGTGATAGGCTGTAGTGAGGTGCTCCTTAGTGAGTACAACTCAGTTAGGGTTTGCTATTTGTATCACTCACATTCCTAATCTCATCATTCCATTGCATTCCTACTTTGAGATGGTATCACGAGTAGGTTAGTTCCTCGTTCCTTCCTAGCACGCGCCCTCCGCGCCCTCCGCACCTTAGCCTCCGCGCCCTCCGCGCCCTCTCCGCGCCTTAGCGCCCTCCTCCTCCGTGCGTCAGCGCCCTCCGCGCCCCTAGCCCATCGCCCTAACCTGTCGCCCAGGCCCACGCCCTAGCCCGACGCCCAGGCCAGCGCCCTAGCCCGTCGCCCAGGCCCGCGCCCTAGCCCATCGCCCAGGCCCGCGCCCCAGCCCGACGCCCAGGCCCGCGCCCTAGCCCGTCGCCCAGGCCCGCGCCCCAGCTCGTCGCCCTAGCCCATCGCCCAGGCCCGCGCCCTAGCCCGTCGCCCAGGCCCGCGCCCTACCCGTCGCCCTAGCCCGTCGCCCAGGCCCGCGCCCCAGCCCGACGCCCAGGCCCGCGCCCTAGCCCGTCGCCCAGGCCCGCGCCCCAGCCCGTCGCCCTAGCCCGTCGCCCAGGCCCGCGCCCTAGCCCGTCGCCCAGGCCCGCGCCCTAGCCCGTCGCCCAGGCCCGCGCCCTAGCCCGCGCTCTAGCCCGTCGCCCAGGCCCGCGCCCCAGCCCGACGCCCAGGCCCGCGCCCTAGCCTGCCGCCCAGGCCCGCGCCCTAGCCCGTCGCCCAGGCCCGCGCCCTAGCCCATCGTCCAGGCCCACGCCCTACCTGTCGCCCTAGCCCGTCGCCCAGGCCCGCGCCCGAGCCTGACGCCCAGGCCCGCGCCCTAGCCTGTCGCCCAGGCCCGCGCCATAGCCCGTCGCCCAGGCCCGCGCCCTAGCCCGTCGCCCAGGCCCGCGCCCTACCCGTCGCCCTAGCCCGTCGCCCAGACCCGCGCCCCAGCCCGTCGCCAAGGCCCTCGCCCTAGCCCGTCGCCCAGGCCCGCGCCCTGCCCTCGCACCAGCCCGCGCCCCCGGCAGCGCCTAGCCCGCCCTCTGCCCACGCCCTTTCCCCCCGTTAGCACTAGCCTTCACCCCTCCACCGCCCTGTTCCCTGGGCCCGAACCGTCCCTACAGTCACTGGCCTTCTGCTCAGCGGCTGGCAGCCGCTCCTCTCCCTGGCGACCCTCTGTAGCCTAGTCTCTAGCCTAGCGCCTAGCCCCCAGCCGCCTCTAGCCTAGCCTCCAGCATGGAGTCCCGCCGCCTTCGTTTCGATGCGGAGGGCCGCCCGATCGAGTTCAGTACCTGGCAGCGCCAGGCCACGCGCTACCTCACCAGTCAGCGTCAGGACGGCGCCACCCTGTGGGCCCACGCTTTTGGTGCCCTCAAGGCGCCCCTGCCTCCCGACCCCCACCCGACCGACCCGGAGCCGACTCCCGCAGCGCAGGCGGACTACGACCGTCGTGTCTTGGCAAGGGACGTGTGGGACTCTCGCGACGCTGCCACTGCTCTTGCGCTGACGGAGCTCCTCCCACCGACTGAGGCCGTCCACTTTTCCCAGGTGGATACTGCGCAGGGGATTTGGGATGCTGTTGTTGCGCGCTATTCCACCCCTTCCTCTACCTCCCTCGGTCGCCTCCTCATGCCGTTCATGTTTCCCGACCTTGGCTCGTTTTTGACTGTGTCCGACCTCGTGACTCACCTGCGTTCACTTGACGCCGGTTTCCGTGCGGCCTGCACCGATGCCCCCCCCCTTATGTGGCTCACTGTGTACTGGTTAGTCACACGCCTCCCTGACCGCCACGCTACTGCTCGCGACATGCTTCTCCAGAAGCACACCACTGAGCTTACTATCGATCTCCTTGAGACCGCTCTTGAGAAGATCGAGAGTAACCTCCTCTCCGTTGCCTTCGCCACTGACGCAGTGCCCCCCTGTCTTTTTGCGGGGTGTACCGCCCCTCAGCTTCCCACTTTCACTGCTACCCACGCTTCTGCTACTGTATCGGTTGTTGAGGAAACTGCTGCCGTCTCTGCCGCTGACTGGCAGAAACGGGGCAAGAGTGGCAAGAAGGGCGGGAAGGGAGGTGGAGGAGGTGGTGGTGGTGGCGGTGGAGCTGGGAGCGGTGGTGGTGGTGGAGGCGGCGGTGGTGCCCCAGGAGGAGGGAGCCTTGGAGGAGGTGCAGGACAGACAGGCCCGCCTACTGGCAGTGTTCAGACTGGCGGGGGTGTTGGACCTCAGCAGCAGCAGCCACAGCAGAGACAGGAGCACCATCCACAGCAGAGACAGCAGCACCATCAGGGACAGCAGCAGTAGCAGGCACCGCAGCAGTTCTAGCCTTGGGGGCCCCCACTGCAGTGGGGTCCGCAGCAGCACTGGGGCCCCCCGCCGCAGTGGGGTCCGGGAGGACCAGGGAGCTCTGGCCGCAGCAGCAGCAGTTCCAGCTGGGCCCCTCGCCCCCCTCGCCGTGACACCGGCCCCTGTGACCACTGGTGCCTCACCGGACCGAGCAGCCCCTGTGTCTGCGGCCGCGACGACCACTCTGCTGCGCGGTGCTTTCTGTTATAGTCACAATAGGCTTGAATGTGCCTTAAACGAAAGATAGAGAGCACAGACGGATTTCTGCACAGCGGCTTCAAACGTTGATAGCGTTCTGCGCACAGCTGCAAATGACTTGACTCAAATTGGATCTGGAGCATCTTTACGTCGCCTACAATAAGCAATTTAGATTGCACGATTTTATAAAGAATTGACGACACAGCGTCGGTTTGAACGAACGGTACTATGGCAGCCACTATAGTCTTAGAACACAAGATAGGAAGAGTTACGAGTTGGGAATGACTCCCAGCTCCTACAAACCCCAAGAGCCGAGGTACAGTGATGTGGAACACTGCCACACTGTCCCCAACCACGAAGGGTCTCGAAACTACCCTCCACAAGGGCCTACACCAAGAGAAATGTTACATTACACAAAGTAATGCAACTATTCTCACTATCTTAAAGTTTACCCTTTTGGAGAGCTTCGAAATCACTTGATTCTTGAAACCAAGGCTCTGGTTCTTCAAAATAAATTCTTCCTTGAGTTCTTGGAATTCTGCTGCGCACACCTACGACACGCCGAACGTTCCACACACGACAAAATAGAAAACCGCACACGACACGCAAACGACGACGTGACACGCGACTAGCGATAACTCGCTATTGACTCGACACACATTCAAAATCATGCCTCATCATTCAGACACTATTGTAAGCATGAAATATATATTATTTCATGCCCTCATACCATTCCATGCACACACGCATGCACGCACACGGACAACAAGCCGAATGCAAACCGTAGGGTTGCACCAACAAACTCCCCCTCGGATTGTTGGCCTTAGGATCTTGCTATCTCAGTTCAGAGCCATCCCAGCCAGCTTGCAACACTTCCAATGCTGCTGCTCCACCAGCCTCTTGGTCATCATGTCAGCTGGCTGCCTTGTCGTCTTCACGTAGTGCAACTCAACTTCACCCGCGGCCACCATGCTCCTCGTCCAATGCCACTTCACCCTCATGTGCTTGGTGAGGCCATGCAACACAGGGTTCTTAGCAAGAGCAATGGCTCCCTGGCTGTCACAGTAGAGTGGGGTAGGTCCTTGCTGCTCCTCCCCCAATTCAGCCAACAAACGCCGCTGCCACACAATCTCCCGTACGGCACGGAAGAGTGCCATGTACTCGGATTCCACCGAGCTCAATGCTTGATCCACCTGCTTCTTGCTCTCCCAAGCAGTTGGGCCTCCACCAACATAGCAAATGAACCCTCCAACACTTGTCATGTCCTCTGGTTCAGAAGCATAAGAAGCATCCGAGAATGCGGTGAGGAACAAACGCCCGGGTTCAACACCATCCGCGCCCTTTTGGCGCCTTTGCGCCGCCGCCGAGTATTGCAGCCCAACGGTCGGTGTTTGGCCAAGATACTTGGCCACCCTCATTCCAGCTGCTACCTGCTCCTCGTTAGGGCATTGAACAACCCTAGCCAACTGTCCGGTAGCAA